GACACAATGGATATATGTATGGAGTGTGAGAAGAGCTGTACGAGCCCCTAATAAAAATAAAAAAGAAACAAGAGCACTGTCAAAGCAGAGGCATGACACGATAGGTCTCAGGTGGTAGCAGTGGACTCAAGCATAGCAGCTGTTTGAGGTGGTACAGGGCAGGGCAATGTTTTGCTCTGCTGCAAATTCGGTCGCTGTGAGTTAAAATTGCCTTGGTGGAGCCTTAGAACCACAATGCTCTTAAAAGAATGTCATGTCTATTTTTTTGTTTGGAAGTACATCTCAAGTTAGTCACGATGTACCTTTTGTGACTTCTCATTATTTGTATAGCAAGTTGTCTCTGTGTAAACAGTTTTCAAGAACTCACCATGATTACGGTTGATCTCTGTATTGCTTATACATATCCCTGCACGATGTGCATGAAGAAAGATATAAATGAGGCAAGTGATGAGTCTTGAAAGGAGCTGACTGAACACTGAGCCTAACTAATGGCAGTGAAATGCCAGTAGAGGATTTGGAGCAGTGTCACTCCATGGAAAAGTACTTTGCATAGCTTCAGTATGCGGCCTGGGTACCATGCTTATGACGGGGTGTAAAAAAGACAGCAGTACACCAGCTATGAGTGAGCCTAGATCTATACTGGAAAGTGGCATATGTGAGTGATGTTTCAGTAGAGGAAAAGTACAATTGCAACTTTGAGTGCAAGGGTGAATGTGCATTTGAAGGATGATTTAAAATGGCTCTGAAAATTGACTTCTGATGGACTATATTGGTTATTTTTAATGCTTATCATGAGCAGTCATGGGTTCATAAGTAAGAGAGGTATTAAAGAGTGCAGATATTTTGGCTTTTCTGTATTATTTAACTGTAAGGAAATTGAATTGGCCTGAAATATTCTAACACCAATCGTCACTAGAAATTTCAAAGTTTAGAATTGAATAGAATGGCCGTAAAAACAGAGACTTTTCTCATCTTTCTCTTCCCCCTACCTAGAACAATAATACATTCTTTGTTTTTTTAATCATTTAAGGAGAACATTTATTAAGTCTTCAAAGGGATAAGCCAACACACACCAAGAAAACATGGAACACTTCCCAAACTTGCTTGTTGTCCTGTGCCATTCTGATAGCAGCACATGTGCTGCGGGAGCGAGCACAGGACGTTCTTCGTGCTCAGTCACACTCACGGCCATGGAGTCCACCTCCACACACAGCCACCCCACAGGACACAGTGTAACTGCCCACAGAGGGTTGCCAGGCTGGACATCGTTACAGGGGTAAAAAGCCTCATTGTTCTCCCTGAGTGCAGCTGATGGTTTCAAACGGCTGACCTTAGAGTTAGCAGCCCCACACATAACACACTGCCCCCCACGGTTCCTCTTATACATGGCAGTTTTTCAATAGTTAATTCTCAAATTATAATAATTGATTGCAAATGTATAGACCAAGTGAATTGATAAAATTCTTACTTATAAATAGTGTTCATGATATTTGATGTAGCAAAGCCACTTCAGTGAGGGAAAAATATCTTGGATGTATGCTCATTTTATAAAAGGCATAAGTAATCAAGGTACAAATCAATGTATTCATTCCACATATCCTCTTTAAATAGCCAATATTTTTTCTGAAAACCATACTTGAATATAAAATGTGATGGTTACTGTTTCAGTTTGTGGAGTTAGATATAGTTGGAATTTTAAAATATACAGAAAGTCAGCCAAGGATTTTGCCGGGAAGACATTTCTGCAGACAGAGAATGAGTGTGCTTTCCTCATGGAGCTCCTTTGCTAATGTCAGTCACTACACAAAGAATCTTTTAGAGACAGCTGGAAGCCAATATTCAGAAGACTGTGTATGTATAGTGTCATAAGTAGAAAGAAAAACTCGTGGTTCAAATTTTAATGGGAGGGAGTTCTTCTTACTTAAAGAATATATACATAATATTAGTAAAGAAAATGCACATTACAAAATTAAAGTATATCACAATTGCAATGTTATACTGGGGCTTCAAAAAATTTGTGGATAAATGGAATTGAAAACAAGGGAATTTATCCAAACTTTTGAAGCCCCTTTGTGTATGTGTGGATTTATATGTATATAAAAATTCCTCTAACTGATGAAATGGAAATCATTTTGGGGTAGGCATCATTTTTATTTCATCGGAAAGAGTACCAAGTCAGCAAAGACATTCAGTGTATTGATTTTTGTATTTTATGAAATCAAACTCAAAAGTCATTTGCCCAAGTGAAGAGCCATCTTTCTGTTTTTACCCCTCTCCACCAATGGCAATGTGCTTTGATCTGAGAAGATTCTGGGAGCAAACCATGCGCTATAGACTTTATTTGAAAGGTAAAATTTATGCCAATGTGATAAAAGTAGTTAAAAATGAATATCCATAGACTCCCTTTTCCCCCTAGAGTTATGAGATAATTAACAAGGACTATATTTTTAAGGATTAGGTTAAATAATCAACAAGTGTAAGTAATTATACTTACTTCTCATTGGGGAAAGAATATTAGGTTTGATTTGTCTGGGAAAATACAGATGTATGTATTAATGGGCATATGTATATGTATCTGCATGGTATGCAAATTTGAAATACAAAAATTTGGATTATAAACTGAAAATTTTAAAAAAATTCAAAGGCTATATTTGCTTAACATTGTCCATGTCTGTGCATTGTATTTTTCTACTTTTCAAAGGGCTGTGATTTTTTTTTTGTTTTCAGGGCTATAAAGTTGACTGGAATCTGCTCTATGGATTCCTCGGAGAGCATGCATCTATCTCAGTAGCATTTCTAGAAGTTTAATAACCCAACGTAGCAAAAGTATAGGAAATGGTGCAGTAAGCAAGCATATTTTGAAGTAACATGGAATTCTGACTTAGTTACTTATCCAAATCTTGAGTTCTGACATGAAAACAATTCCTGTCCTATTACTAAAGGATGCAACATATCTCTTTCTTGGAAATATTTAGATGGAAAATGAGAATTTATAAGATTAATAAGAAAAGGAACTAATTTATGTCTCTTATAATCATGAATTTTTTTTTGTTTGGAGTTATAAAAGCATTCATATACATTAGAATTTTATACCAGATTCTAAACTGCTTTAATTGTCTAGATTCAAATTTCATTAAAATCGCCCTTGATCACTTGTTCTTTTTTGCTTTCCTACCCTCTTCCTTCTTTTTGTAGAAGCCCATTCTTGCTAGAAATATATTGACGAGGAAAGGGTTTTCCTATATCTACTGCTACTAACGTGACTATATAGGGTTTTCAAGCCTTGTAAATCTTTTGGGGAGCAAATAGCCTTATCTCACTTACCCACTGCTGCTTCACCACCTGCTCACAAAGGTGCTGATACATTTGAAACATGAACCTTGGATCTTGAAGTTGGTTATCTCTCCAACACCACCAGGCCTCTTTCCTTATAAAACCAAACTCACTGCCATTGAGTTGATTCCCACTCATAGCGACCCTAAAGGCCAGGGTAGAGCTGTCCCTGTGAGTTTCTGACTCTGTTATTTTTTATAGGGGTAGAAAGTGTTGCCTTTCTCCGAAAGTGTGGTTGGTAATTTTGAACTTCTAACCTTGAGTTAGCAACTCAGTGCTTAACAACTAGGCCACCAGGGGACCCCTGTTGCAAAACCACCAGTAGCTACATGAGAGAAAGATGAGGCTTTCTACTCACATAAAGCGTTAGTTTCCTTATATAGAAGGCTCCTGAAGATTCAGAATTCAGACATGGTAGAAATACACATAGCTTATGATATTCAATTCATATAAATAGTAAAAATGCATCTTCTCATGATTTTTAGTATATTTTGACAAATTTCTTTTAGAAGATGAGTAATGTCAACTTTATAGGTATACCTCCCCCCCAACAAAAAAATTCTAATGAGAAAGAGTATTATTTTTAGGTACTAGTTGGGAGAATTTATAACAAGAAGTATTTGTGAGGTGGGGGGTCATCTTTATTTTACTGTTGCATTATTCTTTTCTGTCTTTTCCTTTGTAAAATAATCACTTATTGAAGTTTGACAAACTGCTAATAAAGGAATTGGAAGATCTAAGTCAAAGATTTAGTAGGCCAAATGCCATTTGTTTCTACAATTTGTAACATTTTATTATTAACAACTCTAGAAGGGGAGTCAGTCTATTTCCGTGTCGAGGACAGATTTCTGTCCATCTGTGCCCGTATTGCAGCATGTCACTCTTACTTTAGCTCTGCATAGCGCTGAGCCACTGTGGATGCCACAGCAAGGTCAAGAGGCAGAGGCGCCTGTCAGCACAGTCTGTCTCTACGCGGTGACAACTGTGGCCTGGCACTTGGAGCACCGCTCCGAGGCAGTCATTCTGTTGAATCTTGGAGCTGGGCCTTCCATACTATCGATTCGAAGGAAAATGTTAACTTTAAACATTTTAAAATATCAGACAAAGAACTTGATCTATTATGTGTCTTTGGATAATGTCAGGTTCCTTATTAGGACTGGGTATTTCTCAACATTTTAAAGATGTGATTAATTCTATCGTGATTTTTCTTGCTTCATTAGATTCCGTAGTAACTCTGTTGGAGCACTGGGTGAGCAGGGTTCCTGTGAAATTCTCTTTTAATGCAAAAAAGCAGAAAATAAGAATGTGGTGGGTCAAGGCTAGCTATTGTTAACTCCTGACTCACAGTTGCCACAAGCAGAGAGAAAGAAATGCTGCCTCCTGCCCATGTTCTGTTGCAGATTAGGTCATTGTCATTTAAATGATTCATTAAGTGATTTTTTTTTTTCTAAAGTTCATCACCAGCACTTCCTTCCGAATTTATCTTAGTTTGGAAATGAACCAAAACGTGTTCCACACCATAGCCCCACACAAGCGTCCACGGACTATCAGGTAGTGGCCACGTTTAAAGTGTGATGGCCAGGGGTATACTCTTACTTGTTGCATGTTTATATTAAACATCTTAGTGTCGCAAATCTCTAAAGGTGTAACTTCCTGTTTCCAAACAGTGCCTATCAGATCGTGGTGGAAGAGCTGCACCCCCACCGAACAAAGAGAGAAGCTGGGACAATGGAATGCTACCAGGTTCCGGTCACATACCAAAATGCCATGAGTGGGGGGGCACCATATTACTTTGCTGCTGAACTGCCTCCCGGGAATCTACCTGAGCCCGCTCCCTTTACAGTTGGGGACAATAGAACGTACCAGGGCTTTTGGAACCCACCTTTGGCTCCACGCAAAGGATACAACATCTATTTCCAGGCCATGAGCAGTGTGGAAAAGGTGAGTTTCCACTAACACTTACTTGTTTTGTTGTTGTTTTGCTACAATTGTAGAATACTGGAGTCAAAAACTCAGTAGCATTTGTCTAAAAGGAGAGAGAGAGAGAATGATGCATTGGGGAAGTTGTTTTTCCCAACATTGCCTACCGTTTGGGCTACTATAGTGCTGCAGTGCTGGAAGCGCCCCTCGTCTCTGCCAGGAAATCTGGAAGACCAGCTGGCCAAGTGACTGAAAGAGATCCATATCTGTTGCCATCCCGAAGAAAGGTGGGCCAACCAAATGTGGAAATTATGAAACAATGCTACTGATTGCACATGCAAGTGCAATTTTACTGAAGGCAATCCAAACACTGTTGCAGCAGTAAGTTGACAGGGAATGCCATAAATTCTAACTGGACTTAGAAGAAGACATGGGAAGAGGAACATCATGGCTGATTCAGATGGATCTTGGCTGAAAGCAGAGAATACCAGGAAGACATTCCCTGTGCTTCATTGACTGTGCACAGGCATTTAACTGTGTGGCTGATAACACATTATAGATGACCTTGTGAAGAACGGGAATTGCCGAACACTTAACTGTACTCCTGTGAAACCTGTGCATAGAACATGAGGAAATCATTCACAGAACAAGGAGATGTTGTGTGATTTGGGATATGGAAATCAGATTGTGTCCTTTTATCATATTTATTCAGTCTGTATTCTAGGTAAATAATTCAACAAGATGGACCATATGAAGAAGAATCTGGCATCACAATTGGAGGAAGACTCATTAATAGCCTGTGCTAGCAGAGGACCCACCCTTTCTTACTGAAAGGGTAGTGGGTATAGATAGACCAGTGGTTCTCAAGCTTCCTAATGCCACAATCCTTTAATAGAGTTCCTCGTGTGGTGGTGACCCCCAACCAGAAACTTATTTTCGTTGCTACTTCATAACTGTAATTGTGCTACTATCATGAATCGGGCAACCCCTGTGAAAGGGTCGTTCGACCCTCCAAAAGGATCGCGACCCACAGGTTGAGAATCACTGGTATAGATCAAGGCATATCATTATTGATGTCAGATGGATCTTGGCTGAAAGCAGAAAATACCTTAAAGGTATTAGCTTGTGTTTTATTGACTACTCAAAGGCATTCAACTGGGTGCACCAAGGGGCAGTCATTTGAACAGAACAAAGGAATCGTGTGCATGGTTTAAAATTAGGTAAGGTGCACATCAGGGTTGTAACCATTCACCATTCTTATTTGACCTGTATGCTGTGTAAATAATCTAAGAAGCTATACTGTGTAAAGAATTCAGGATCAGAATTGGAAGCAGGTATAGTAACAATTTTCAATATGCAGGTATCTCAACCTTGCTTCCTGACAGTGATGAGGACGCGGAGCACTTGCTGATGAAGAGCAAGGATTGCATCCTCCTGTATGGATAACACTTCAATGAGAAGAAAATAAAAACATTCCCAACCGAACTAATAGGCAACGAACTGATAAACAAAGGAAAGATTCAACAAATGGTCAAGGATTTCATTTTACTTGAATCCATATTCCAAGCCCATGCAAACAACAGTCCAGAACTCCACGTATTGCCTTGGGCACATCTGCTGCGTAAGACCCCTTTTCAGGGTCCAAAAGCAAAAGCAAACAAAAAAAGTGTCCTCTGAGAACTGGGGTGCCCTGGCCCAAGCCATGTTGTTTTCATTCTCCTGTGTCTCCTTGCGCCCTTCTCGTGTGAGCATTCCACAGGAATACCCCCACTGCCAAGTGTGAGTAAACTGATTGGAGAAGGTGTGTGTGGGGCTGCCACCGCTCTGCCCCCAGGAACTCTCCGGCATTCTTCTGACTTCTTTGCTCAGAAGATTAAATTTACAGCAGGATAAACAAAATACATGTTCCACAGCCGGCTAATAGACCCTTATAAACTTTTCAGGAGGTAGCAGCCAAATAGTAAATAACAAGTAACAGTCCTCTGATTACAAAGTAACAGGACGCCCCTGGCACATCCGACAGAACCTCTACAGATGGCGGCCCGGAGGTGGCTAGCTGCTGTGCCCTTAGCGACGCCGGCTCCCCCTTTCCCCGGTTGCCCCTCCCTTGCCCAGTTTGGACACAGCTGGTTTTGAACGCTGCCACTGATCCCAGATGAATATTGAAGAGGGAGGCACCACAGGATGCTAGAAACAACTCGTGCTTCCATATGTGGGCCAACAACCTAGCCTTGCATGCCGCATGCTGTTCTCTCCGGGAAATTTTCTTTCCTTCAATTTGCTTATTTGAATGTGTTATTTTTTTTTTAAGAGTGATCGGGTAAAAAAAAGTTGAGAGTAGCATCTTCCACAACTTAAAATCCAGTAGCAGAATGCCGTCTTTCAACACTTGTAACTATATATAGAAAAAGGCTTGGCGATACAGCGGTTGCAGCTCAGCTGCTAATTAGGAAGGTTGGCATTTCAAACGCACCGTCCCTTCCACAATGATGTGGCCGCCTGCGTCGTTCCGGTCTCAGCCTCAGAAACCCTATGGGGCAGTGCCCGCGGGCCTGTAGGCTTACTGTGAGTTCAAGTCCACGGGTGGGCACCCAGCCATAACCACCATGTAGGCCAATGCTGGGTTTTTTAATAATGGAGTCTCTGAGGTAGAAACTTGAGAGGATATGAGATCATGTGATAGCTCTCCTTGGATAAGTCACACTATATCTTGGGATGATTTTCTTCGAAGATCTTCGTGACCACCCATTTGCATTTTTTGTAAGCGCTATAAGGACAGAAGGCATTGATGGATGATTTGGCTGTTTTGAAAGAAATCATTTCTCTCTGCTTTCTTATATGGTATGTTAGTCTGGGTACTTTAGAGAAACAAATCTACAGAAACTCATGTATAAGAGAGAGTTTTATATAAACGGTAAGTGCCCATCAAGAAAACATCCCAACCCAGTGCTCTCCAAGCCCACAAATCCAACATTAACCCAAATGTCCAACACCAATCCACAAAATCCACCTCCATCTCACAAGACACATGCAATGACACCGACTGCAGGAGGAAAGTCGAGTCAGTGAACGTGTAGGCATCTCAGCGCTGGCAGGAGTCTCCACATGGCTGCTCCATCACCCAGGGTTGCATCGGGGTAGGTCCATGTGGCTTCTCCTCAGGGACGTCTTGCAGGAAGTGAGTCTTGCTAGCTGAAGCTGGGAACTGGCTAAGGCAGCTGCACCCTGGTCCGACCATCACAAAGCAAGAGACCTGAGAACTCAGGCTCACTGAGCCAATTAACCCCACATAGTTTATCGGCCAGGTTGGCACAATAAACTAACTACCTCATATGGTTAGGGCACAGTGTATGGAACAGAATAGTGGCACAGAGTCTTCTACGGTTGACGTTAAAGCTAGGCACTGCTCAAGGCTGCTGGTGCTCCTTCTGCTGACTTATTTCTGTAGAAGCCTCCGGGGGAGTCAGGTGTCCACATCCTGCCCCACTGATAAAAGGCGCTGTTCAGTCGTATGAGCATGAAGAATCATTGTTTTGTTCTAAGTACAAAGCAGTGGAGGGGTAGAAAATATAATTCTGCTTTTTTTTTAATCTTTAGAATGTGAGAGATTCCAAATTAACTTTTGTTACTTAGTCTGTGGTATGAGAAGAGTGTTAATGAATGTTGATTACTTATAAAGGATTTTCTCTGGCACCATTTAAACACTTTGACATAAATATTCTCTTCTAATTGCTAATATATCTCCACTGTGCTATAATCAAAGTACAGAGTAGCAACAATATATTTTACAGTTATCTTGACACAGGGTTTTTAAATGAATGTGGCTCCTACCAGCAGAGGCTGGGCCTGCCAGTATCGTTTGCAGCTATTGGTTTTAGGAAGTCAAATTCTCTTTGGGCCTTCATTGGAATGTGAAATCATTTCTTGCAGTTTGCTACAAAGACCTCTCAGGTGAAAAGTAATAGAAATACAATTTTTAATTTTTTAGAAAAATTACCAACATTCTCTTCAGTGCTTCATTGGGTCTGATTTAAAAATAAAAAATGGTTTTGAGAAATGTGGAAACTCTTTAAACTTGTCAATATGTAATAATTAAAACAAACACACAAACATAAAACAAAACTTTAAGGTTAAGAGAGAGGCAGGCATTTGTGACAAAAAATATTGTTTCAATTATTGCTGACAGAATGCTGTGCTAAACAATTATCAGGATGTATGTAATAAACACATTGACTGATAGTAATGAGTTTAATTTAGCAAACCTCTGGAACTTTCCGTCATGTCCCCTTCCCTTTCTCTGTTTGTGAGCACATTCCTTGGTTTGTCTCACCTGATCAAAAACTGCTCTCTCTGCAATTTAAGGCACATTGCAGCATTGCATGTAGTGTCTCCGCTGCTAATCTCCAGTAAAATCCTTTGTTTTATTTGTATCCTTTCTTAAAACTCTTAGCTTCTAACACCACACACACCCCCCAACCCATCCCTCCCCTTCTCCCACAAAAGAATGAAACCTCCCACAGCACATCTCCTCTCTGCTTTGTGCACTGGCTTTGGCACCAGTCTTCCCTTGTCTATTCAGAAATCAATAGTAGATGAGCAAGTCTTGACCACTGAGATGTGGAGCTGGAAACATCCAGCATCAACACGTGTCTCTACTCACTACTGTCGCCCTAGAACCAATGTGTTTTTTAATTAAAAAGGAAACTATGAGGTCTGAGATAACTTCTGTCCTTTCCTGCTTCTGTTTCCTCTACCAGTCAGTCTGGCAAGAGGAGGAGAATAATTTACAACGAGAGACATTTTTTCCCCTCGAGTTAAATTTAAAGTGGAAAGGAAGCGTAGATAAAATTAAGCGTAATTTTGCTACACTTTGTGGATGATCTTTCTAACTACAAACATGTAGCTTTTTAGTCATGGGTAGGATCTAAGTGAGAGTAGGCAATATTCAGATATGGTCTGCCTCTGAAGATAAGAGGTAAAAATAAAATTTGTTTTTACATCTGATTTGTATCAGCTTTGGAAATACATTTCTCTCCGATAGTTCAACAGCACCAAAAAAATACAGTCAATACAAATAGAATACTCTAGTGCTTGTTAGACATGAGAGCTTTGTTCATTATAAGGTGAAAAATAATACCTATACTTTAGAAATTGGAAACATTTCTAAAAGCTCTTATCTTTGAGGGGGTGTTGTGTATATTTTAATCTCTTGACAGCTCATAGAAAATTTCTTAAGTGTTTTAACGCTAGATCCCTATTCTTTATGATTCTATTGTATGACCTCAGATGGCTCTTCATAATATAGTTCATAAAACAAGACATACTCTCTGTGCACTGACTGTTTTCTTTCATTTTTACTTCACCAGGAAACTAAAACCCAGTGTGTAAGAATTGCTACAAAAGGTAAGGTGTTAGCTTCTTTCTTTCTATGTTTCTTAACTCCATTTCCCCCCTTCTAAAATGAAAGAGCTTTGTTCCTTGCATGAGGGCTAATTAGATGTGGCATTTCTATAACAGAGCATTTGTAGTAGGGCCCAGTTAAACTGCCAGCCAAGCCCTTGCCCCACTTGGGTGTCTTTAGCATGTAATAGGGTGCTATTTTCCACTCTCTAGTACTGGACTGGAGGAATCGTTACGAGAATAGGAAGGATTTAGGAAAACTTAGAAGGGCCTACTTCTGCCATTTCGAGTCTGAAATGTCTCCTACTGCTGAGCAGCCAGTGTATAAGGCAAAGCTCCATCATCTCAGCTCAAAATAACAAGCAGCTTGTTTAAAAACTTCTGTTATTCTCTCTGGCAGACAATGATTCATAAAAAGAGCCAAACCTGCTCTTGTAACAGTTTTAGCATGGTAATTGGTCCATATCTTCATCAAAATTGCATCTTCATTAATTTAATGTATGCCAAGAACTTAGATCAGTGAAGGCTGAGGACCAGCGCACTCCCTACTGATTTTGCATGTTGTGTTTACTTGCTGAGTTGCTTTGAGACGAGAAACTATTTCATCTTTGAATGAATAGTACTGGTGCTCAGAGCAGGGAAACGGTCCCTTGTGTTTGATATGTTTATCATCCTTCATTTAAGAGTTATTTTATTGTGCCAGCAAGAGACAGTGAAAACTATTTGGTGTAGTCTAACAAGGGAAGCAAGAAAAAGCTTCCTGCGTGCTGACGTGGCCTTCCTCAGAGGGTTGATTCTCAGTGTGATTTGCTGCCAGAATTCGCATTAGACCCACATTCATGAGCAGTAGTCAGTTTGTTTGGACTAAAAATGAATGGATATATTCTGTTTGTGCTGGCATGTTTCCTTCCATCATTTTTCTCCATCTAATCATCAATCTGCTCAATTAAGCATTTGTGTTTAACTCCTGATTTGTAAAAGCAATAAAGAAAGACTGTTTTCTTTTGACTCTGAAGATGTAATAAAGAGGCTTCACAGGGAAGGGAAGAAATATCACTTTTCAATTCAAATATTAATGTTACTCATGATCATTGAAAGGAGAAAGCAAAGTAACTTGACTTAAAGAAGAGAAAGAGAAAACATGAAAATGCATATAAAATGTATGAATTTATATTAATATTTTTAACTCACCTGTCAGGAGTTCAGAAGTGAATTTGTTTGAAGAGAATGATAGAAGACATGGAATGTAGATCAACTGATTTTTCCATACTTAAAATAAAACTAGAAATGTAAAAGCATCATCTTTCTGCCTTCCAAAAATTCTTTGGGTGTTGTCATACCATAATTCTGTCCCTGAGGTGGGAGGAAATATTCTGCTTATTTAATAGGATCAACCTGTGGTATGTCCGCCTCTTGGGGTGGTACTTTGGCACAATGAATAAGGTCCCAGACTCTATGAGTTCATTCCTGACTCCTCTCTTTACTAAATCTTTGGTACTGCCATTGTGAAAATTACTTAATCTTATGTCCTCTAAAAAAAAAAGTAGCCACCTTACACTTTACTAGTATTGTGAATATATATAGCTATAGATCTATATAGATATAGATATACACTGAATAGTGCATAGCATTTAATAAGTACTAGTTAGGGCTGCTATAATGAGTCAACTTGAAGCCAGTGAGTTTCAAAGTTATACCTAGGGATTAACTCTTAATTTAATCATTACAATAGTGAAGTTTTATGTTTGTTTATGTTTTATATTGTTTGGCAAAAACAAAGAGGACTTTAAAAATATATATATAGTTGCCCAAATTTAATGTAATTCTTTATCTAAACAGTCAGCACCTTTCACATAGGTAAAAGCCACACTTATTGTGATCACATAAACTTAATACCTGACACTGTTACAAACTAACAGCATGTAAATGTGGTTAGATTTGTTTAAATGAAATTTCTCAATATAAAAATAAATTTTTCAGATATCATGGATATATTTTAATAAATGCCCCTCTGAAAGCAGATGCATTTTGAAGAAATATTCAGAAATCAAAATGACTTAAACATATTCACTGGGACCGGGCAGGAGGGCACCTTCTGGGAAAAGATAGATTTGAAAATTTGTGGGTATAAACTTAGGTTAGAATTCTACCAAGCTATAGTACTTAAAACTTGTGCATTTTATTGTTAAGTGTGCATTCAGGTAGCAGGTATGTATGTAGATAAGGTACATTTCCTTTAAAAATAAAAATAAATAAAGGTATTTCAGACTCTGCATGACCTTTGGCAGAAACTGCACCGAATGAATGAGTAAGGGAATGTGTACAGTTCGGACAGTGACCTCTCTGGCCTCCTTGCAGTTTTCCATGCCTGGCATAAGGTGGGCCTTCACTCCCCCAGCCGCTTTGAAGAACACAGGGACTGTTAGTAGTACCTGTCTTCTGCTTGGGTGCCTCCCATCAGAAAGTCTTGTATTCCGTATATTCCTCAGTCGGAACCTTCCCTAGTGTCCATCCCCACAGCTTTAGCTATGAGTACTGATGCTATACCCTTTTTGATAAGTTAGATAGAAGAGATAATAACACATCTAGATGGAAACATAGGCAAATATCTTTACATAGGTTACTTAAGAGACAAAAGTGCTGTTGATAAAGGTAACGCATATGAATTTGAGTTAAGGCCTTCCTTCCATCAAAAAACATCATTAAAAGTAAAATACAGTTCATAGAAGTAAAAAGTTAGTTACAAGAAATATATCCAAAGAGATTTATATCTATAATTTATAAAGCCCTTCTATAAGTCAATATGAAAAAGGATAGATCTTCCAATTGAAAAATGAATAAAAGACAATACAGAAAAAGAGAATCATATGACCAATACACATAGGGTATGTGGTACTCAACAGAAAATTCTAAATAAAACCAAAATGGCATGCCGTTGTGTGCATACAACAATTTCTAAAAGGAAAAACACAGTCAGTACTAAGTATTGCAAAGTCGATAGAGCAACTGGAAATCTTATCTGTCTTATGCTGTTAGAGTAACAATTTGTACCCTCGTTCCAGGAGAGTAGCTAGCAGTATATACTGAAAGAGGACATATGCATCATCTATGATCCAACCTTCATCCCCAGCAATACTTCTAAAGAAATGTGTACTAAACGGTGTATTGTAAAATTTATAGCACCAGTATTTGTAACATTCAAAAACTGGAAGAACCCAAACTTCCTTCACCAGTAGACTTCATAATTAAATTTGGCAAATTTACACAATGGAGTACTCCAACAGAGAGCATAAACAATCTATAACTGAGCACACACACATCCCACACACCAAATATTATGGGGACTACATAAAGTTCATGGAGAAGTGGAATGAACAAACAATGGCGTTTATCCACAAGCTTTTTCTCATAGATAAAGTGTGTTTTAGATGTGATCTATATGTATATAGATCATATTACTTTTATGTGTAGTTGTAGATTGCTAAGGTAGGAAACCTACTGATATACAAGGGAGCTCCAAAAAGTTCATGGAACATTTTAAATATAGTTCAATTCTATTTTTCCACAAACTTTTTGAAACGTGTGTGTGTGTGTGTGTGTGTGTGTGTTCCCCAAGACTATTATTAGGCTTAGTAATTCATCTGGATGACTCAACAGGGCTCAGTATAAAGCTGTACTCTTGGCTATTATATAATTCAGGGAAATGATGCGAAGCAAAATGAGCCAAGAGAAAAGGCACAGGGGGAAAGTTCAGGGAAAACCAGAGAATACTCTACCAAGAAGACTCTCCCTGTGGAGTCACACAGGACATGCAGAACTTCTTTAACATTGAATTGTGCAAACACATGCAAAGTGTTCTCCTATCAGAAAAGCTTATTAAAGACTCAGCCCTATCTTGCTTTTTTTTAAGGCTAATCACATGTTTAGCCTATACCAAGTTCCACTTCTAGGAAGAAAGCAGGTGGTCAGCATAAACCACATTGTTTGCACAGGGTAGGCACAATGAACCATTATTAACAGTTCGGGGATGAATCCCAGTTCCCAGACCTCAACCTTGCAAGCTGCCTTTTCTTGGGACATCACTGTCAGTTCTCCTATTTAACCCTTCCCTGCACAGTGTCCATCACAAATGTCTCAAAAGATAGTTGAGAACATTTTAAAGCAAAATTAGAGGAAATCTAAAAAGCCATACAATTAAGGAAACATAATATTATATTCATAAAAATTATTAAGAAATTGATGCTAACGAGGACACACATCTGAATGATGACTTAATAACCCTATTTAAAAGTGTGAGGACCTGCAGGATATATTGACTAGGAGGCCTCCTCTCCCCCGAGCCGACTCTATGTCGAGAATATGGAATTTTTAAGGTATTAAAATAGTTCTGCAATGACTTGTTGGAAGTCATTTTGAAAACTTTCTAAGAATTAATAGTTCACTCAGGTACTTGCCTAATTATACTTTGCTTCATTATTTTAATTAGTCTCTATGGAATTATGAAGCAATTATGTTTATCTGATACTTAGTCATATATCTTCACCGTCTTTCTACATCCTACATATATGTAATTCAGGTTTACAAATTTGAATGCTCTTTGTAGAGTACACATGATTAGATGTTTGAGAATCTATATTAGGTGTGGAACCAAAGCAAAATAAAGATGGAGAAATGGAAATAAATCATCATGTATGTGATTGTAAGAAGAAAATTCATTGAACAGAAAATCAAGGCAGTATAAAAAGAAGAAACCTTGGAGCTATTCTGCCTATCCATAGTAGCCAACCTGAGCCCCATTTTATTGCATATGCCTTGCCCATACTAACAATGGGTAAAATCAAAACCGAAAAACAAAAGAAATTAGGGAAAGGGGGAAGGAGGAAAAAGGAGATGTCGCTGTTGGTTTCACCACCAGTGCTTAGGCAACAATTATGCCAAATGCAAAGATTCAAGAGAAAATGATTAAGAGATATAATCCTAAGTACATGAAGGGTTAGAACCCG